GTTCTCTCTTTTCTTTTTTATCAGTCTGGCTAGTGGTCTGTTTATTTTGTTGACTCTTTCAAAAAACCAGCTCTTGCATTTATTGATTTTTTGAAGGGTTTTTTGTGTCTCTATCTCCTTCAGTTCTGCGCTGATCTTAGTTATTTCTTGTCTTCTGCTAGGTTTTGAGTTTTTCTGATCTTGCTCCTCTAGCTCTTTCAATTTTGATGATAGGGTGTCAATTTTGGATCTCTCCACTCTTTTCATATGGGCACTTATTGATATATATTTTCCTCTAGAGACTGCTTTAAATGTGTTCCAGAGATTCTGGTATGTTGTGTCTTCATTCTCATTGGTTTCGAAGAACTTCTTTATTTCTGCCTTCATTTCATTGTTTATCCAGTCAACATTCAAGAGCCAGTTTTTCAGTTTCCATGAAGCTGTGTGGTTCTGAGTTAGTTTCTGAATTCTGAGTTCTAACTTGATTGCACTATGGTCTGAGAGACTGTTTGTTATGATTTCAGTTGTTTTGCATTTGCTGAGGAGTGCTTTACTTTCAATTATGTGGTCAATTTTAGAGTAGGTGTGATGTGGTGCTGAGAAGAATGTATATTCTGTGGATTTGGGGTGGAGAGTTCTGTAAATGTCTATCAGGTTTGCTTGTTCCAGGTCTGAGTTCAAGCCCTGGATATCCTTGTGAATTTTCTGTCTGGTTGATCTGTCCAATATTGACAGTGGAGTGTTAAGGTCTCCCACTATTATTGTGGGGGAGTCTAAGTCTCTTTGTAAGTCATTAAGAACTTGCCTTATATATCTGGGTGCTCCTGTATTGGGTCCATATATATTTAGTATCATTAGCTCTTCTTGTTTTATTGATCCTTTTATCATTATGTAATGTCTTTCTTTGTCTCTTTTGATCTTTGTTGCTTTAAAGTCTATTTTATAAGAGACGAGAATTGCAACTCCTGCTTTTTTTTGCTCTCCATTTGCTTGGTAAATCTTCCTCCATTTCTATATTTTCAGCCTTTGTGTATCCTTACATGCGGGATGGGTTTCCTGGATACAGCACACTGATGGGTTTTGGCTTTTTATTCAATTTGCCAGTCTGTGTCTTTTGATTGGTGCATTTAGCCCATTTACATTTAGCGTTAGTATTGTTATGTGTGAATTTGATACTGCCATTTTGATGCTAGCTGGCTCTTTTGTCTGTTAGTTGATGCAGATTCTTCATTTTGTTGATGCTGTTTAGCATTTGGTATGTTTTTGGAGTGTCTGGTACTAGTTTTTCCTTTCTATGTGTAGTGCCTCTTTCAGGAGCTCTTGTAAAGCAGGCCTGGTGGTGACAAAATCTCTGAGTACTTGCTTGTTTGCAAAGGATTTTATTTTTCCTTCACTTATGAAGCTCAGTTTGGCTGGATATGAAATTCTGGGTTAAAAGTTCTTTTCTTTAATGATGTTGAATATTGGCCCCCACTCTCTTCTGGCTTGTAGGGTTTCTGCTGAGAGATCTGCTGCGAGTCTGATGGGCTTCCCTTTGTGGGTTAACCGACCTTTCTCTCTGGCTGCCCTTAACATTTTCTCCTTCATTTCAACCCTGGTGAATCTGACGATTATGTGCCTTGGGGTTGCTCTTCTTGCTGAATACCTTTGTGGTGTTCTCTGTAGTTCCTGGACTTAGATATTGGCCTGCCTTGCTAGATTGGGGAAGTTTTCCTGGATAATATCCTGAAGAGTATTTTCCAGCTTGGATTCATTCTCTTTGTCACATTCTGGTACACCTATCAAACGTAGATTAGGTCTCTTCACATAGTCCCACATTTCTTGAAGACTTTGTTCATTCCTTTTTGCACTATTTTCTCTAATCTTGGTTTCTTGTTTTATTTCATTGAGTTGATCTTCGACTTCTGATATCCTTTCTTCTGCTTGGTCAGTTTGGCTGTTGAAACTTGTGCATGCTTCACAAAGTTCTCGTGTTGTGTTTTTCAGCTCCTTCAATTCATTCATATTCCTCTCTAAGTTGTCCATTCTTGTTATCATTTCCTCAAGTCTTTTTTCAACGTTCTTAGTTTCTTTGCATTTATTTAGAACATGTTCTTTTAGCTCATGTAAGTTTCTCATTACCCACCTTCTGAAGCCTGATTCCATCATTTCATTGCACTCATTCTCCATGCAGCTTTGTTCCCTTGCTGATGAGGAGTTTTGGTCCTTTGTAGGAGGTGAGGTGTTCTGGTTTCGGGTGTTTTCCTCCTTTTTGCTCTGGTTTCTTCCCATCTTTGTGGATTTATCTACCTGTTGCTGACTTTTCAATTGGGTCTGTGAGTGGACGCCCAGATTGTTGATGATGAAGTATTTCTGTTTCTTAGTTTTCCTTCTAACAGTCTAGCCCCTCTGCTGCAAGACTGCTGAGGTCCACTCCAGGCCTTGCTTCTCTGGGGTACACCTGTAGGAGCTGCGGAACAGTGAGGGATGCTACCAGTTTCTTCTTCTGCTATCTTTGTCCCAGACTGATGCCCACCAAATGTCAGTCTGATCAGTCCTTTTTGAGGTGACTCTTTAAATATACGGGGGTCAGGGAGCTACTTGAGGAGACGGTCTGTACTTTATAGGAGCTCAAGTGCTGAGCTGTGAGCTCCATTGTTTATTCAGGGCTGCTAGGCAGGTACGTTTAAGTCTGCTGCAGCAGAACTCATAAAACCCCTTTTTTCCCTCAGATGCTCTGTCTCTGGGAGTTAGGGCTTTATTTATGAGTATCCGTTGCACTGTCCTGCCCAGCTAGGAGGCAGTCTAGTCACTACTTGCCTGCCGAGGCTCTGCCCTGCTGCCATGGGGTCCGCCCTGTTGCCGTGGGCTCTGCCCTGCTGCTGTGCGCTCTGCCCTGTTGCCATGGGCTCTGCCTTGCTGTCATGGGCTCCGCCCTGTTGCCGTGGGCTCCACCCTGCTGCCGAGTGTAATTCCCTGTAGTCCTGTTTATATGGGTTTGGTTAGAACTGATGTGGTGATGGTGGCCCACCTCTGTATTGGCAGACTCTCTTTGTTATGGCAGGTTGCCTTGGAAATGGCAGGCTGCCTCAGCAATGTGATAGTACCTCAGTAGGGACGGAATGCCTCGGTAATGGCAGATGCCCCTCCCCCACTGAGCTGCACCATCCTGCGTTCAGCTATGCCCGCCATGAAACTCTCAACCCTGAGCATTTTGAATTGCCGTTTTGCTTGTCCCTGTGGGGGTGGGACCCGCCGAGCCTGATCACCTGGCTCCCTGCCTCAGAGCCCTTTTTTTTTTTTTTTAAGTTGAACAGTTGACTCTCTCCCAGGTGTTTCAGTCGCCTGCTGAAAGGGCACTGGGATCTGTGTGATTTCCCATGCAGTGACCCACTGCGCTGGCTCAAACGTCACTTCCCAGGAATCTCCTGGCCTCGTTCACTGTCCAAGTCCTGTTTAATCAAATGAATATGCTAATCTGCCCTCCCAAATCTCAAATTGCTGGTTTAACAGGGCACTCAGACCAGTGCGTTTTGTGCAGAGTGCCGCTGTGCTGCGGCACTGGCCGAAACAGCCGCACCCACTGAAACAGCTGCGCTGGCATCCCGTGTCTCTCCTACACCTGGGAATTTCCCTGTTCTGTGGGCAACAAAGATCCATCTGGAAATGCGACGTGCACTCACCCTCTGTGCCTTCACTGAGAGCTCCAATCCTGAGTTTCTCCTACAGCACCATCTTCCCCTGCTCCCTGAGAGTATGTACTTTTATTGTTGTAAAGTGAATAGTTACTCTATGGGATTACCACTCTAGGTCATAGTTAGAATGCAGGAAAATATTTTTTCATCATTAGGTGAGTATCTGTAAGGCAACAATTCATACTAATATAATTATTTTAGTATTGAGATACCTGGCAAATATAACTTTTCTGTTACTCAGATTTTATCTTAAACATCACCTCGTCAAGGTTGGCCTCCCTAAATCTCTAAGACTAGGTCAGGGACCCTTGTGTTAACAAGCCACCTATACGTTTCCTTCATAGTACTTTACACTTTCATTAATACTTTCAAAATTTGTTAGGCTCACTTTTATCTCAGTTTCATCTTGTGATTTCTCTAGGGCAAATTTAGCATGCAAGATTGAAGTGCACTTTCAGAATAACAGAGAAACATTCACAGAATGGACCCGAGCTCCCCTGAGGCAGGGTCAACATAATGGGTTACTCCTCAAGAAGGTGAAGGTCAGAGACTGGAAGATAATGCAGAAAGAGACACTGAGTTGTCAAACATTGCATATATTTTATTGAATATTAATAAAATACAAAATGAATAATTATAGCTCAAACATCTTCACATTCTGCTAATGGTAGAAGCAAAGCACAGTCATCAGACCAAATATCAAAAACCTAAAAGCCAGAGAACATAGCTCTAAAGACAATGAATGCCATATTTTCTAAAAGGCTTAGTATAAATATAAAGATATTTAAGTATTTTATACACACACATTACTATTTTAGTATTTACAGTTTACCTTAGGACTCTACTTTCAGAGTTTATTTTTATAGTTTGTTACAGTTTACCTCAATAACGATAAAACCTGCTTTCCTATCTAAAATAAGTCCACCTTTTCACTCTGGCTTGGAACAGCCAATAATCTTTTTCTAATATTTGCCACAATGTGTAATTATCTATTATTTGTGTGTTTATGTGTTTAATGTTGATTCCCCTTATGAGGCTGTAAGCTCTGTGAAAGTAAGGACTATGTCTGTTCTGTTCAAATCATGTACACAGTGCCTGCCTACCAATAATGCTGATGTACAGTCATTTTATAGACTACTTGTTTACTGAATGTTGAGTGACTAGGGTCAAGAACATCTGCACACTGAGCCAGCTTGAAATAATGAGAGGATAAATTTGGCCTCTGTAGCATGAACATTAATATTGCTCAAAAACCTTTCTTGTTAAAAACCTTTTCCTTTAATGTTTTTTTAATTAGTTGTTTTTTTAATTGTAATTATCTGCATATAGTCATTGTATGTTTTGCAGATCCATGGATGATTCTGGGTTTAGTTCTTTGTGAGAGTGCCAGAAACTCCCAGAGACTGACTCTATGCATATAGACAGGCCACTGGAGAGAATGTCTACTGGGTTGCTGAAGACAATTGCTACTGAGGATGGATCAAAGCTCAGGAAGGAACAATTCAGTACCAAAAGAGGGAATGGAGCCCTTCTGGAAAACACACATAAGGTACCTCAAGACTTGTAAATGCTAGATAAAAGTAGCATGCTGTTGGAGAGTTTTAAAGTCCTAATTTTTTAGTTATTTGTTTTTAAAAATTACATAAGTAGCACATTTGTTATAGATGTATTTAGGGTGGTTTTAATTCATATTTCCCCAGGTAAATAACTGTGTACAATTGTCTTTTGATAATGGCCAGCAGGCCTTTACATTCTTCAGGTTTCCTCTTCCAGATATATGTACTATCTCTTGGTCTACCTATGGCACTCTAGATATCAGGATACCATGAAAAAAAATCTCGGATATTGGAAAGGGCACATTTTTTTTGACATCATCAGGGTGCTCAATGCAAACCATGGTTGAACACTTGAAGATGTCAAGTAGCTGCTTGAAGCTCCTGATGAAGAGTTACACAGCACCATGTTCTGCCAGTAGTCATAGGCATTTGGATTTTCTCTCTTCAGATTTAGCTTCTTCTCCCTTTGTCAAACTGCCTGGACAGAGCTGCAATTGCTTCCTTGTCGTAGAGTCTGTCCACTGGCCTCAACTTTCTACTTGTTGTCTCACCAGAGATAATATGAGTTACAGTCTCTCCAAAGATGCTAGATGTCTAGAATCATTCAGAATGTTCCCTGGAACATAATACAAATAGAGCACCAGCTGATTCCCCCCAGGACTCAGATGATACCTATTCATATATTTTCCATTCAATTTGCAGCAAATCTCTGTTAGGACAGTCTTTCTCAAGTGATCCAGAGTGAAGGATTACATTTTGTTTGTTTTTATTTTCAGTGTATTGTGGACTGGTACTTTGTGTAAAATATAATGAAATATAATAAAATTCGTTCTTAGAAATGTAAAATGGTCAATAAAAACAGACATACAAAGTACAAACCCCATTTTTTATTAGTAGATTCAAAAGATAAAATTACTCTGCCAATGTGCTGTAGTAGTTTCTTTTTTGACATTTAAAATTCAAATTAAACTTAATTTAAATCAGAAGCACAATTCTAAATTGCATTTAGTCAATATCCCTTTTATAACCTTGTTATAAAAATCAGAAGGAATATTTGTAAGTAAAGCAGATATCTCTATAGGTTAATGAGGCCAGATTTGACTTTGGATTTTGTTCTTTAAACAGATTCTATAAGATAGAGGAAAAAATAGGTTATTTATAGAGAACAGTATCTACCTGTGTACTCAGAGGTATAAATTTCTTGATGGAAATGACTTCAGTATATGGTGGAATCTCAGAAGCAATTTTCAAAGAGCTTAGTTTTATTTTCTTGGATCTTAAGAATATCTAAAATCCTTTTTCATCCTCAATTTTGGGAGCCAAATAATACTTTAAATGTTCCATATCCAGCAATTTTATACTCTACAGCAAGAGGTGCATCTGCAGACATACTGTGTGTTACCAGAAGAGAGAGTGGAGTACCTTTATAAAGAAATTCAAGTATCTTAGTGCAAAAGTTAGCTGAATTGGCTCATTCGTCATTATGGCAACAGCTTCCTCTTCTTTATTGTCATTACTTGTTTGTGACAATGTTTCCATTTCCACCTTCTCCATCTGCAGAAAATTTCACTCCATCTTTTGCACAAGATATTATCGTATGTTCTCCAATATGACTGAGATCTTGGCATATATGAACAAATTCAGCAGAATACATCTTTACTACACAGCTGTACTCTTGTTCTGGAATTTCAAATTGCTCGACATCTAAAATCATTAACTTCATAGTCTAAAAGTTCTCTCGATTTAGTTCTTCAAATTCTAGTACCAAGAGGTCCATGGCACCTTCAGCCCTCCATGTAATGAAGTCTTCATTGCCATCATCATATTTTAGCATTTTCAACATGTTGGTGAGGCTCATGCTCATGGCTAGGTTGTGTTCACAGCGGTATGTGTTGAAGCCTGGGCACTCAGGGTGAGTTGCACCAAGGAAATGTGTGATACTTTCATGCTGTGTAGGTTCACCTGATTGAACTGTTGTTCCAGCAGACCTCTCTCTCACTTTGAATAGGGATGACTGTACGACTAATAAGATGTTGTGGTGATGATGGTGTGTGACATCTAAGGCAGGGTCATAAAATACGTTGTGACTTCTTCTCACTGTTTCTGGGAGAAGTCAGCTTTCATATCCCAAAGACAGTCAAGCAGCACTATGAAGAGGTCCAGGTAAAACTGAAGATCTTTACAAACAGCCAGTACTAATCTGCCAACCAAATGAGGGACTTTGGAAAACAGATCCTCTGGCCTCAGGTAAGCCTTCAAAGACTTCAGTCCCAGTCAACCTTTTCACTGCCACCTCATGGTAAACCCTGCACTAGTACCATTGAGCTAAGCTGCTCCTGAATTCCTGACTCACAGAAACTGTGAGAGAATAAATGTGGTTATTATGACACAGTAAGTTTTTGAGGTAATCTGTTATGTACCAATAGATAACAAATACAGCCACTACATAAATCAATACATAACTTCCATCTGCTTGATAGGTGTTATGATAGAAGTAGAATACAGGTGTAGTAAAGACAGCGAATCTGAAGTAGTAACCTGCTGTCTGGGTCTGTTTTGTGCTGCTATAATGCAATTTCACAGACTGGGTAATTTATAAAGAACAGAAATTTATTCTCTCACAGTAAAAAAGGCTGACAAGTCTAAAATCAAGGCCCGGTCAGGTTAGGGTTTAGTTTCTCTGCTTTCAAGATGGTGCCTTGAACACTGCATCCTTTGGAGAGGAGAAACATTGCATCCTCACATGGCAGAGAGCAGGAGAGGAAAGGAGACAAATGGAAATTAGGCTCACCATTTTATAATAGCATTAATTAATTCATGAAGGTGAAGTCCTCATGAACTAAATACCTCCTTTTAGGTTCTATCTTCCAACACTGTTGCTTTGGAGATCAGGTTTTCAACAAGTTAGCTGAACTGGCTCATTCATTTTTACAGCAACAGCCTCTTCTTTATTGTCATTATTTGTTTGTAACAATGTTTTTCCATTTCCAAGTTTTCCACTTGCAGAAATTTCCCTCCCTTTTTTGCACAGGAAATTATAATTTGGGGGACACATTCAAACTATAACATCTATCAAATTAGTAACTCTACCAACGCAAGGCTACAATGCAAGTTTTCATATTTTCCACAAGCCTGCTATAAATTATTTGCTGATTACAAAATAATCAACAAAATACAAGTATTTATTCCTTTGTACATGGAAGCAACCGAACACTTTTTTCTTTGGTATGAAGGTCTACAAGTGAGAACAATCTATATTTGTCTTCCTAGTTAAGTACAACTTTAACTAAGGGGCTGAACTCTTGAATTCATGTTTCTCTTTATTTTTTTAATGTTGAGAAAGTAACCAATAATACATGTGGTCAAATAAAACGCTCTGAATTAAATATTTCGGCCTGGCACGGTGGCTCACACCTAATCCCAGCACTTTGGGAGGCTGAGGCAGGTGGATCACAAGGTCAAGAGATGGAGACCATCCTGGTCAACATGGTAAAACCCTGTCTCTATTACAAATACAAAAATTAGCTGGACATGGTGGCGCATGCCTGTAGTCCCAGCTACTTGGGAGGCTGAGGCAGGAGAATTGCTTGAACCCAGGAGGCGGAGGTTGCAGTGAGCCAAGATCACGCCATTGCACTCCAGCCTGGGTAACAAGAACGAAACTCCATCTCAAAAAAAAAATTTCAAAGATTTTTAATTCATTGATCCTCTCCTTCCCTAACCCCCAATAAAGTTTTTAGTAAAGTGGGATGCCTCCTCATTCACAGAATGGAGGACCCATGCTAGCATTTGGGTTACGTTGGTATCAATGTCAGCTCAGACTCGGCATCTGAGAGTTCTTTAAAGATATGGGTATCTGGCCAGGTGTGGTAGTGTAGGCCTATAATCCCAGCACTTTGGGAGGCTAATTTGGGAATATTGCTTAAGACTAGGGGTTCAAGACCAGGCTGGTTTGAGCCTGGTCTACAAAATCCTGCTTCTACCAAAAAAAAAAAAAAAAAAAAAAAAATTAGCCAGGCTTTGTAGCAAGTGCCTGTAACCCCAGCTACTCGGGAAGCTGAGGTGGAAGGATTGCTTGAGCCTGGGAGTTTGAGGTTGCAGTGAGCTATGAATGTGCTACTGCACTCTAGCCTCGGTGATAGAGTGAGACCCTATCTCAAAACAAACAAACATTTTCTCTTTCCCCATGTATAGCAATACTGGTTTATCAATCTAGGGAAGGTCTGAAGGAATTGATGGTGTATACAATTACTGTGATAATTGTAGGTCCTCTGCAGAAAGAACCCAACTGCAGAGGGCCTAGACTTGCTTCTATAGATGGGCTCTGGATTTGAGAACTGGCTTAGGTTTGGAAACTAGATAGAGAGATTATAATTTTCTATTGTGGCAGCTGACATCAGCCTTTGGCTCACCCATTATTGATCTTTTTTTTTTGGGGGTATGTAGGTCAGGTATTACCCTCATATCTTAGCCCTAGGTACATGATGATCTTTTTCATTATTCCTTTTTTTTTTTTTTTGAGATGGAGTTTCACTCTTGTTGCCTAGGCTGGAGTGCAATGGCACAATCTTGCCTCACCGCAGCCTCGCCTTTCTGGTTCAAGCAATTCTCCTGCCTCAGCCTCCTAAAGATGGGATTACAGGTGTCCACCACCACATCATGATCTATTAACCATCACTACAGATCCCTGTATGCCACAGCCCCCTGGTTTCCATTCAACCTTTGTTATCTATTTAAATAATTACATCTATCTTTCTCTTGTTAGGTAAGTGGTACCTCCTGGCCTCTGCTGTTTCAGAATCCTATCATCCCTGAATCCTAGGGGCTTACCTACCATTATCCCTGGTATACAAAGCATAGACACTGCCAAGCCTCTTAATGAGGCCAGTGCCTTCATCCCCAGCCTTTGGACCACTTTACATTTCTTATTGCTTTAGTAAAAAAAGTGTCCCCTTTTGATTCTCTTGAGAAACAGTCATCTTCCGGATTTTGAGGTCTTATAGGATAGATCGTTGAACAGTCCTACCTCTCTGAGCCTCTAGACTTCTTCCTTAGCACTCTTCCAAAGCAGTTCTGGCATCTTCACCTGATTTGTTGTAGGCCACAGTTTTCCCCCCACCCCCAATTTTAAAGGAGCTATCTGAGTAGCACAGAACTGATTCCAGATGTCTTTCTTGGGGTACTACCTCCTCAGTTGCAGGAGATGGCCCTGATTTCAACAACCTCTCCCTTATATTCTGCTCCCCTGGCTCAGCATGCTCATGATTGATATCTAATATGCTTTTTCAATTCCTGCAGGTACATATGAGCTGGGTCCTATGGTGATTTTTTGGTGAATGATTTTTCTAGTCAAGCGGAGATTTGATTGTTGACCTTATTTACTGGCCTAGAAACCATGTGGGTATATAAGGACATACCTTGAGAAGGATAGCCTCATCTTTTATTTAAATGTTTTTTGTTTTTAATTTTTAATAGGTGCATATTAGGTATACATATTTAAGGGGTACATGAGATATTTTGATACAGACATACAATGTGCAATAGTCACCTCAAGCGTTTGTCATTTCTTTGTGTTAGGAACATTCACACTCCACTCTTTTAGTTATTTTAAAATATGCAATAAGTATTGTTGACTATCCTGTTGTGGTTTCAAATACTAGACTTACTCATTTTATCTAACTATATTTTTGAGCCTATTAACCACCTTGGCATCCTCTGCTACCCTTTCCCACTACTCTACTTCCATGAGTTTAATTGATTTAGTTTTTACCTGCCATGAATCAGTGAGTACCTGTGAAATTTGTCTGTTTTGGGCCTGGCTTATGTCACTGAACATAATGTCTTCCAGTTTTATCTATGTTGTTGCAAATGACAAGACTTAATTTTTTTTATGACTAACTAGTACTCCATTATATATATGTACCCATTTTCTTTATCCATTCATCTATTGATGGACACTTGGGTTGATTTCTAACTTTGGCTATATTGAATAGTGCTGTGATAAAAATGGCAGAGCAGGTATCTCTGGATATATTGACTTCCTTTCTTTTGTATATATTCCTAGCAGTGGGATTGTTGGATCATATGGTAGTTCCGTTTTTAGTTTTTTGAGGAACCTCCACACTGTTCTCTATAGTGACTGTACTAATTTACATTGCCACCAACAATGAACAAGGGTTTCTCTTTTTCTACATCCTCACCAGAATTTGCTATTGCCTGTCCTTTGGATAAAAGCAATCTCATTGAGGTGAGATGATATCTCATTGTACCTTTGATTTGCATTTTTCTGATAATTAATGAGGTTGAGCACCTTTTTATATACCTGTTGGCAATCTTTATGTGCTATTTTAAGAAATGTCTATGCAGACCTTTTGATTATTTTAGTTTTTTAATTTCTAGTTTTTAAAAATATATTTTTATTTCAACAGCTTTTGGGGTACAAGTTGTTTTTGGTTACATGAATGAATTATATAGTAGTGAATCCTTTTTTTTAATGAGAGCAAGTTTATTAAGAGAATAAATGAATAAAAGAATAAGAACATGGGCTGTTCAATGGAGTATACTTATAGTTATTTCTTGATTGTATGCTAAACAAGGGGTGGATTTTTCATGAACTTCCTGAGAAAAAAGTGAGAAACTCCTGAAACTGAGGGTTTCTCCCTTTTTTAGACCATATAAAGATAACTTTCTGATGTTGCCATGACTTTGTAAACTATCATGGGACTGATGGGAGTGTCTTTTTAGCATGCTAATTGTTCAGTAGAAAGTCCCGCCATCTTTCCCCCAGGTTTCTTGCCCCCACCCTCCCCCCAGGCTTCCTGCTGCCCTGAGAAAAGCCCGCCAAGCCTGCTCTGTTCTGCCCAGCAACAACAAGCAGCCAATCATCGCAGCAGGAAAGCCTGCCAAGCCTCGACCTATCCTGAACTGACACATAACCCTCTGAGCTACCTCAGCAGTCCGCCCAGAAACGGACAGCCTATCCTAAGCTCCTACAACACTCCGCCAGCCCTGTGTCCACGCCCCGTCCACCCCCCCTATAAAACCCTCCTACCCCAGCTGCGCAGTTGCAGCCAGCCCCCGATCTCCTTCCTTTCCTGGCCTGCCCGCTGGTCCCAATAAACCTGAACTCGGCTTCCAACTCTTGCTCGGGCTGTTACTTGGGATCGGGTACCGGGCAGGGGTCTACAAGGGGGTGGCACATTTGGTGCCGAAACCCGGGACGGAGGGTCGCTAGCCCCCCTAGCGATCCCCTCCCTCCAGCGACCTCCCCAGCCCTCCTCCAATTCGGCCTCAGCACTCCGGACCAGGTAAGTCCTGTTTCTTACCTTCTCCTTCCGTGGTGCGTGTGGCAAAGGCCCTTCCTCTCAGTCCCAATCCACGGATCCCTCGCCAAGCGCCGGCCGGCCCAAGCAGGATCCCCCAACCAGGCTCCAGGAGCCTTGGGTCGGCAGACAAGGGACGCCTTCTCTGACCCACCCAATCCAAAACCATTAAATAGGAATGATCAGACAGAGGACGCATTCTCTGGTCTTTCCTATCCACCTTCCTCTGGGGAAGCTGGTGGGTTGGAGGGACGCCTCCCCCCACAATACCCCAGCCCACTCGGATACTGTTCCGAGCTCGGATACTGTTCCAAGACCACCCTCGGCTGGCAGGAACCCTTTGCCGCACGCATCATGGGGAACGTGGAGTCCAAAATTCCAAAAAACACCCCACTAGGTTGTTTACTTCTCAATTTTACCTGTTTGGGCTACTCCCAAACCCTTAGGTGGAAAAAGCTTATCTTCGTCTCCCAGGTGGCCTGGCCCCAGTATCAGCTCGATAACAGGTCGCATTGGCCTCCCACCGGCACTTTTGATTTCAATGTGCTCCACGACCTAGATAACTTCTGCCGCCGAACTGGCAAAGATAAGGAAGTGCCTTATGTTCAGGCTTTCTGGGACCTGCATTCCCACCCTGACCTCTGTTCCACTTGTTCTACTCACCAGGTCCTCCTAGCCCAAACCACCCTACCCCAGACCCCTACCTCCCCGACCAAACCACCTCCGTATATCATGCAAGAAGAGATGCCTGACCATTTGTCTTCCCCCTTTGTTCCCACTCCGGAAGTCCCCGACCCACCTAACCCCCCTCCCTCTGTGCCTCCTCCTGCTGTGCCTCCTTCCTCCTCTCCGCCTACGCCTTCCGCCACTCCCCCGACCGCTCCTCCTTCCATCTGCCCTCCCCCTTCTTCCCCCGTGGCGGCCCATACCCGTACCAAGACTTCAGCGCCTCCCTCTGTCATAGCACCCCTACGGGAAGTAGCCGGGGCGGAGGGCCTTGTTCGGGTCCATGTCCCTTTTTCTCTCCAAGACCTAGCTCAAATTGAGCGCTGTCTTGGGTCCTTCTTGGCAGACACCTCCACTTACATTAAGGAGTTTCAGTATCTCACCCAGGCCTATAGTCTCACTTGGCACGACATTCGAGTCATCTGTACATCGACCCTCTCTGCCGAAGAGCACGAGCGCGTCCTAGTGGCAGCCAGGCATCAAGCAGATAGAGATCATGCCATAAACCCAAACCAAGTCCCAGTAGGTACAGAAGCTATTCCCACCACAGATCCCCAATGGGTATATCAGGATGGAGCTGGCTCCCACATCCCAGCTCGAGACCGCATGCTTCAGTACCTGTTGCGCGGGTTAGAAGCTGTATCCAATAAGGTCGTTAACTATGATAAGCTAAGAGAAGTCACACAGAAGCCAGATGAGAACCCTGCCCTTTTTCTCAACCGCCTTCAGGAAGCCCTTGTCCGCTATACCCGACTAGACCCAGCCTCCCAAAATGGGGCTACCATCTTAGCTTCCCACTTTATTTCCCAATCTGCCCCTGACATTCGAAAAAAACTTAAGAAGGCCGAAGAAGGCCCAGAGACTCCCATACAAGACCTGGTTAAGATGGCCTTTAAAGTCTTTAACACCAGGGAAGATGCAGCCGAAGTTGCTCACCAAGCTCGATTGAAGCAAAAGGTTGTGCTGCAGGTCCAAGCCCTAGTGGCAGCCCAGACCCAAGCCCTGGTGGCAGCCCTACGGCCAGCAGGGGCCAGGGGTCCGAACAGCCGCTCCAAGCCCCTGCCAGGGGCATGCTTCAAATGTGGCAAGGAAGGGCATTGGGCCTCTGGTTGTCCTCAGCCACGGCCGCCTACCAGGCCCTGCCCCCTCTGTCAGCTCAGTGGCCACTGGAAATCAGAGTGCCCCCAGGGATCCAGGACCCCGGCCAACGCAAGCCAGAGTACTGGACCAAGGGGTACCTCTCCAGGAGGGCCAGCCCCTGACCCCTCTACTCGGGAGTCTGGCTCTCCTGACCACCTATACCCTGAGCTACTGGGGCTTTTGGACGACTAGGGAGGCCCAGGCTCGTCGACCCCAGTAACCCTCGCCAAGCCTAGGGTGTCACTTCAGGTAGCGGGAAAAAGCGTCTCCTTTTTGCTCGATACGGGGGCTACCTACTCTGTGCTTCCCTCCTTCCAAGGCCAGACCATACTCTCCCAGGTCTCTGTTATGGGAATCGATGGGGCTGCACACACCCCACGCCAAACTCCACCACTCACCTGTATGTATAACTCAGTCCCATTCAGCCACTCTTTCCTCATTATCCCCTCTTGCCCTGTGCCTCTGTTAGGACAAGACATCCTAACAAAACTCAAAGCCCACATCACTTTCCCCGCCTCTCCCCAACACCTCCTGTTAGTTGCTCACCACCTCGACTCCGACTCAGACTATGCTTCCCCAGGCATTCTCCTCCCCAAAGTACACCCTAAGGTATGGGAAACGGACACACCTGTAGTAGCCACACACCACAAGCCAGTCAAGATTTGCCTCCAGGAACACTCCTCCCGATTTCTTTGTCGACCTCAGTTTCCTATTTCCAAGAAACACCGCCTAGGACTTCGCCCTATCATTGAAAGGCTGAAAAGCTGCGGCCTCCTAGTACCCACCAATTCCCCATGTAACACTCCCATCCTCCCAGTCCGGAAACCCTCAGGAGAATACCGCCTTGTCCAAGACCTCCGACTAGTCAATGCTGCAGTAGTCCCTATACATCCTGTAGTCCCAAACCCGTACACCATACTCTCCAGAATTCCCTCCGATACTACCTTCTTCTCAGTCCTTGACCTCAAGGATGCCTTTTTCACCATTCCCTTACACCCAGATTCCCACTTCATCTTCGCTTTCACCTGGGCAGACCCACTTACTGACAACTCTTGTCAGCTCACCTGGACAGTTCTTCCCCAAGGTTTCAGGGATAGCCCTCACCTGTTCAGTCAGGCCCTGGCAACAGACCTTCTAGGCTGCAGCCTAGCCCCATCTATTGTTCTTCAGTATGTTGATGACCTACTCGTCTGTTCCCCCAGCCAGGAAGAGTGCACCTGAGCCATTACTGTCCTACTCAACTTTTTAGGAGATAAAGGGTATAGAGTTTCAAGAAAGAAGGCCCAACTCGTTACCTCATCAGTCATTTACTTGGGCCTACAGCTTTCCCCAGGAAAGAAATCCATTATCCCCGATCAACTGCAGGCCCTGAAAGCCCTCCAACCCCCACAGTCTGCCACTGAAATACTCTCCTTTCTAGGGGTAGTGGGATTCTTCCGGCACTGGGTGCCCAACTTTGCCCTTCTGGCAAAGCCACTTTACCAAGCAGCCGCAGATACTCCTGAAGGCCCACTTACTTCACAGGGAACAGTGACTCGAGCCTTCCACACACTCCTACGAACACTATGTGCTTCCACCTTTCTTGCTCTACCCAATCCCAATCTTCCTTTTCACTTGTATATGGATGAGAAAGCCCACATCGCGGTAGGAGTCCTGGCTCAACCGGTCGGCAACACCCTCCTTCCACTAGCATACCTTTCCAAACAACTCAGCCCCACGGAAAAGGGGTGGCCACCTTGCCTCCAAGCCTTAGCAGCAGCTGCCACACTTACGACAGAAGCCCTTAAGATCAACCTCCAGCAACCACTCACAGTATTCTCCCCTCACAAACTGCAGGAGCTTGTGTCCAGTCAGGCCTTACCACACCTCGGGCCGTCCAAGGTCCAACTCCTACACCTTCTATTCTTAGAGAATCCCGACATTTCCCTCTCCCACTGTCCTGCTCTTAACCCAGCCACCCTTTTCCCTTCTCCAACCGCTCCGGCACAAGATCACCGATGCCTCGAGGTTATCATTGAAACCCAATCCCCACGGCCCGACCTACACTCCACTCCCATCGAGGCCGAAGCGACACTTTTTGTAGATGGGAGCTCCTTCCTATGCCCAGGAAAATCCCGTATTGCTGGATATGCAATAGTGACCCCTTCAGACGTCATTGAGACTCATTCCCTCCCCTTAGGAACCACCTCACAACAGGCTGAGTTAGTCGCCCTCACCCGGGCTCTCAAGCGGGCCAGGGACAAAACTGGCAACATCTACACAGACTCAAAGTACGCTTTCCTTATTGCCCACTCCCATTGTATGATCTGGAAAGAGAGAGGGTTCTTAACCACCAAGGGCACCCCGGTAGTTAATGGAAAACTTATAGCTGATCTTATCTCTGCCATCCAGCTTCCAAAGCAGGTTGCCATCATTCACTGTCAAGGACACCAAACCTCCGGGTCCCTAGTAGCCCTAGGTAATGCTTTTGCAGATAGGACGGCCAGAGAAACAGCACAAACCTACCCACCCCCAAAGGAAATCTACTTCCTGTCACACTGCTACAAACCCCAGTATTCCAACTCTGAGCTCGAACTTTTACAGAAAAACCCTGGAGTGACCTTTAGGGATGGATGGGCCTTCAATCACAACCTTCTGATACTTCCCCAAGCACAAAAAACTACCATCATAAAGGACATCCATGATTCCTTGCATATTGGGCCAAAAGCCCTACTCCGCTTCCTCCTACCCATATTACATCCAGAAGGGCTCCCTTCCCTTATTCACCAGGTCCACGCTCAATGTCTCATTTGTGCGAAGACCAACCCCCAAGGAGCCTGTCATCTTCGTCAACAGCTCCACCAGTTGCATGGATCTTTACCAGGACAAGATTGGCAAATTGATTTTACTCACATGCCAAGACATAAACAATTTCGGTTCCTGTTAACCATTGTTGACACTTTTTCAGGCTGGATTGAAGCTTACCCCACAGCCTCTGAGTCTGCCGGGACAGTAGCCACTCATCTCATTCAAGACATCATCCCACGCTTTGGACTCCCGGCTACCATACAGTCAGACAACGGCCCAGCCTTTATCTCCAAAGTCACTAATGCTGTTTCTACCTCTCTAGGAATTCAGTGGAAGCTACATGCCACCTACCATCCTCAGTCCTCTGGTAAGGTGGAACGGGCCAATGGCCTAATAAAGGAGCATCTGACCAAGCTCATGCTTGAGCTCCGCCAATCCTGGGTAACCTTGCTTCCTATTGTCCTCACCAGGTTGATAGCAAACCCCCGGGGCCCATCACAGCTTAGCCCGTTTGAGCTGCTGTATGGTCGCCCCTTCCTACTTTCAACTCCCCCACCGCCAGAGACCACTCCTCTAGACAGCTACCTCCCCTACTTTACTCTCCTTCGCAGCCTTCTCCGAGAACACGCCAATGCTTCTCTTCCCCAACCCACCCAGCCATCTGAAAATACACAGAAAGTCTCCCCCGGGGACTCAGTTCTTATCAGGTCCCTCTCCCCAAAGCCCCTAGCCCCCAAGTGGGAAGGACCATACACAGTCCTCCTTACCACTCCATCAGCTGTAAGAGTTGCTGGAATCCCATCTTGGGTCCACCTGTCTCGGGTAAAAAAGGCCCCTCATGGACCCTCCTTATGCTGGAAGGCTGTTCCTACTGGCCCTTTATCTGTCAAACTTACCAGGGCCTAGCAGCCACACCCCCTACAGATGGAGATTCTTCCTAACTGAAAACTATACCAAAACCACCTTCATCTGTAATACCCCTCCATACAGCCACAACCATCTTCTTGCAACTTCCGACTGCCCCGCAGCCGGATGCCAAAGGGCCATATATCTGAACTTCACCAAATTCCATAACATCCATACTGATATACCTCTCATGTGCTTCAACCATGACCAACCATCAGGAGCATGCAATAATACTCCTTGGCGCTCTTGCATGGGATGTACTTGGATGAACTGTCGACTACATATAGCCGTCAAGTCCACAGAACCTGCCCGATCTCAGCTCAAAATCATCCCAGACATAGATGGAGAAGGAAACACCATTATCAGTTCTACACGGTATTCCATTCTCATACCTGACCCCTGGGACAACCGGTGGAAAAGCCCCCAGAAAGCTGCCGTGTATGACCACATAGATACCAAATATCCCTCTTCCCACCTGTACATCTGGCGGGCATACGTACGTACAGTCCACCAAGTCCACTCTGATATTAGCCTACAAGAAAAATCTCTGAATGACCAATTGCAACCACATTCGTCTCCATTTTCCTGGTTAACTTTTCTCCAAGAAGGAATCAAGTTAGCTAACCTCTCAGGACTAACTGACCTAACTTCATGCCTCATGTGTGCCTTCTTAGGACAGACTCCCTTCGTTGCAGTCCCTTACCCCATCCCTCTCAACCTTTCAGCCTCAACTTCTTCCTTCTCCCCCATCAGGGAAGTCGATCTCTACACTCCACCTGACTTTGAACAGCTACCTGTGTGCTATTCCCTAGGCCAAAACTTCCCTAGCTGTATCAGAAATATACGGGTAACCACTAACATAACAGCCCCACAAGGAACGTTTTTTTGGTGTAACAGGACCTTAACAAAAACTCTCTACATTGGCCTTTCCTCATCTCTTTTATGCCTCCCAGTAACCCTAGTCCCTCGACTCACTATATATTCTTCAGCCGAATTCCAGATGCTGCAAGCTCCCCATCACCGCACCCGACGAGCTGCCTTCCTACCCATTGCCGTTGGAGTCTCCCTTGCTGGTTCAGCACTTGCAGCAGGATTAGGAGGAGGGGCCCTAGTCCACTCTCACCTGGCCATAGCCCGACTGACCTCACAACTCCAAGCAGCTATTGATGACTCTACTGAGTCTTTAGCATCACTCCAACGACAGATCACCTCAGTTGCCCAAGTTGCCTTGCAGAACCGAAGAGCCCTAGACCTGCTCACTGCTGAACGAGGAGGGACCTGTATCTTCCTACAAGAAGAGTGCTGTTACTACATCAATGAATCCGGCCTAGTAGGAACCCGAATTGAGAGCCTCCAGAAACTCAAAACTAGCCTGCAGAGTCAGAAGTTCTCGGCTGAAGCCACAGCGTGGTGGTCTTCCTCTGTGTATACCCTCTTGTCCCCATTGCTTGGGCCCCTAGTAGCCGTTTGCCTAATTTTACTTATTGCTCCTTGCTTTCTACAGT